TGCTGGTCAAGATGATGATACAGATATATCTTATTGCATGAGCAAGTTAATGCAGGACGTGATCTCCAAACCTGTGAAATCGGCTCTTCTGCAGGCACTCGTGGTTCACGCGTCTTCCTCCGAGACGGGATCGTACCACTTCACCCGATGTCAGAACCGTTCATTGGAGCAAGCCATCAGGCGCTTGAAGGAAAAAGATCCTGAAGCGAGAGAAGTGTTCAAAGAACATTACGTGCCAAATAGTATCCATATTTTGAACTGTATCAAGGATCGTCTGAAAGAGATGAACGTTTCGTATGTCTCAAAGGATAACTGTATTTGCCTTTCTCACGATATATCGGAGGAAAAATTTGTCGATGTAATCAAAGATGTATTGAGCAATAAATAAATTTGTATTGCATAATTTGTATTATATGTTACTCGTTCATCATTGCCCCTCTCTTTACAATATCAAATTGAAAGGTGAATTAAATTTCGATGAGTCGAATTGATACTTAGATAATTTGTGAAAATAAAATGTCACATCGATGTGATAATTCTTTTATTGCTAGAGATTAATCGATATCGATACTTAGATAAGTTGCAAAAATAAAATATCATGTCATCTTTTTTTACAAATCATCTACGTATGATTAATCTCTAGCGATAAGTATTATCACATCGACGTATTAAAAGTTTTTCTTCAATATTTTATATCAATGAAATATAAAATATTCAAGAAAAACTTTTAATTTTGAGAATTTTCTCGATGCATTTAGAAAAGTATTATCTTATTATTATATTTGGGCATTCTTACATACGGACGCTCCTGAGACGAAGCGTCGCGCTCTGGCGTATCTTACGCGTATCTGGCGACTCGTTGCTAATGCACGAGCGGCGAGTGGGGGACAATAGGCGTGAGCCACGGAATCGGGCCGAAATGTGCAGGTAAATCCCAGTGTGCCACTGCCTATCTTACGGCAAAAGCAATTCTCCTACGAATGGCTCGCAAAATTGAAAACGCCACGAATAGCGCCGACACAACAATCGCGCAATTGGATCGATACGAAATTGCTCGAGGTAATCAGTTCGGATATGATTGACTGACTTTGAAATACGTGCGGGTATTAATAGAAGGGCGTTGGGATGTGTAATATCTCGTTTTATGATTTCACATTTTTAGCTCGACATGCGACATGAATGCGTTTCGAAATGCCATTGCGACGGATTTTCGTTGCGCGGCTCGTTAATCGCAGTTGCATAATTCGGACAAATATACAGAATCAATGAAAAGAAATAAATTGGAGTCAGATTATTATCCGCGTGCTCTCTCGGAATGTACAGGAAGAATGTGATTAAATGTCGTACGATGCTCGTTTGTTCTCTATTCAAAATAACACATTAAAAATCTAAACAATAAATGTGATTTTTCAAACAGAGAATTAATATCGCCCATAAAGATACGAGTAATTTAAATGTTAATCAATCTTTTAAAAAGCACATCATACGCTCTCGAAATAATTTCCTTGATTCTTAATAACAAAAAAAATCGTATCAAATAATTTTCTTGACTTTCCCATTATCATACATGACGTAATATCGAACATCAAGTAACTTGTTTTCTAATGTCTAATGTGCAGTCGAAAGCAGTGACGGCGCACAATGCGATGCACAATACTTATGTCATTGTACTGACAATGAAAGTTAGAATCACCGCCTATGGCGTTCGTGTAATCTCCTACTACTCTTTTACGAAATGAATTATCGAAATATTACGTTACGCCGCCATTACGCTTCGGTGCGTTGCGCTTTGACGTGCCATCAAGTGTCACTGCTTTCTCATTTCGCGCAATTATTAGTAATCTTATTTAGCGCGATGGTAGTGTTCTTGCTCTTAATCATAAACTTTACGGCATTAAATTATTAATGGAGATATTACCTGCTATTTTCCTGCTTATTTTTATATCATATATAAAAAATCTAAGCACGATATTTCAGGCAATTGTAATTTTTTAATATAATTTTCAATTTTGTATCTCTCTATTCAAGTAAATCGCAGATTATAAAGTCGTAATATCCGTTATCTAATATTCGATATCTGTCTCAACTTTAAGTTCATACTTTATTTATTCTACTATCGAAATATATAAAACATAAAAAATTTGCATATTTGCAATTTTCTTTGAATATCTTATCTGATTTCTAAATGTAAATCTTCGAGTAAAAAAAAAATCTGGCACTTTGTAACGAGAAGGCTGCCAAACTCTTCTTCAAAGCTTTTCGAAATTAAAGCGCGGAAGCATATTTGACTTAATGGCAATTGAGTGTTCTCGGAATATCTTCTCAAGATCTCTTTAATGGACGAGCTTCCTTCCATCATTAAATTTAAACGTTATAAAAACGGCTTTCGTTAAAGTCGTAGCAATAGCTGTTTGCCAGTACAGAAAAAAATGTTATCGCGGATATTGCTGTTTCTGGAGCAGGGAAATGATTTTCTATAACAGTTCTACCGATAATTATTTAATGTCGCAAAGTTCATGGATCGGGTAATAAAACCAATGCTTAAATTTCGATCGAGCGATGTGGAAAGTGACAGTCGGTTATGGATCCCTTTTAGTTTGGCAAAAAATATAAATAAATGTGTTCCTGAATTATTTACGCGCAAACGAAACGTCGAGTCGATTGGAAGAGAACACGGACCTTAAATCAAGACACATCGATCTAACAAATGGAAATAAAAGAACGCAATGATTAATAAACGAAATATTAATATTTCAAATCCAACTCGAATTTTAAATGTTTCAGTTTTTTTTTTGTACTCTTCCAACTCGAAAGTTACGTAAGTCATAAAAAAAGAAGAAATCTGATTCGCTTTGGACGATCCGACTGTCTTGCTCTCGCAAAGTCATTGCCCTCCGTCAAATAAGAGGAGTGCGATATCGTTTTTTGTGATAGCGCGGTTTAATCCCCTCTTACATATATTACAACCTCGTTGTATATCTTTCTGGTAAACTTGATCGAATCGCGCGTTTTCTAACATTATTGGAGTATACGCGGTCGCGATCGTTTTCTAAGTGCATCGTCAATATTAATCCAGTACAAATACCAGAAATACTCTGAATAGTAAGAGCTCTACTTGCGATATCTGCAACGAAGAAAACGGATCAAGCAGTCGCCTCGAAACCGGTTGCCAGGAAGTATCGTCGAATAGCAGCGGCTACTCGCTCGACAGATCCCCTACTTAAGGATCGCACACGGGAGGGAACTGCGCGACTGCGGACTTGTAGATGAACCTCGTCGCGAGTAGAATTCTCCGGGATTAATCCATATTTTAAGAAATCTGTGATGCCGATGAGAGATTCTTTTCAAAGGAATCACCCTCCTCTGTTCACATTTTATATAAATAAAAAAATATTTTTGCGCTACTTTTCTCGCGATATGATTATTATTGCTGCATTTATCTCAAAGAATATTTGTTACATTTCGTATTGACTCTTTAACTGAAGTATGCAAAGAAACTGCCCACAACTGAAAGAAATCTTTTCATACAAGTATAAAATATCATTTTTTATATTAATCAGCATAAAATGGCGATAAATTATTAACTGCAAAAATATCATCATTAAATCTTTACATAAAAATATATCTGCTTTCGTTGGAAGTCTCGATCCTTGCTAAACATTAACAAGTTAGCTAAAGCTAAAGAATGAATCAGGATGTTGATTATTATATGGTTGTGAATCGTTATAAGTGAGAACGATACGATCAACGTTAATGAGAGAGTTAAAATAATTTTAAATATTATACACAATCTTAGTTACCGTGTAACGTACACGGTAACTAAGATTATTTAATCAAGCTTTTTGTTCTCATCCTCAAGTGTTTGTGTCAGTTATGATAAATCGGAAGATGATCAGCCTGCAGCAGCGAGTTCCTGCAACTGCAGGAAGTGCACACGAGCAGTATACGGGACGTGGATTAAACTCGCGCGCGAGCAACGTCGTTGACATCTGTTACAATCTGTCGGAAACTAAGTCACGTTTGTGCGTTAATCACGTTGGCACGATTACGATGTCTCCAATGTCAAAGTCAGGGTTGGTTTTCATCTCCGGAAGTGAGACGCGCGCGCGCAGACGAACTGACCTTATATTTTATCCCCTAATTACGATCGCAGACAGTACAAGTATCGTGAAATGTATCCTAAATTTTTCTATTTAGGGATATTCTACAGACAATTCTTGTATTTTCCTGTGCGTTTAGAATATACTATCGGCACAAATTTTTTTTGTTTTTAATAAATTGTTAGAATTTGATTCGCAGTCGCACTTGCCAAAATGTTCCATAAATTATAATGGATAGTAATTGATAAATGAAAGATTAATTAAAAATGGATAATTAACATTTCTAAACTTGTTCAGTGCTTTCGTATAAATGTTTCACACAAACGGTGGATACGTTTTTATCGATTTTGACATCATTCTTGTAAATTAAATTTTCTCGCTTTAAAGCACGCTGTTCTTCAAATATACGCACTTGCGATATATCCTTATCTCTCCTTGTTTAAGTACAGATACTTATGGGTGTATAAGGAAAGTATAATACCACGAATCGTGAGTAAAACCAGTGGATAGGTTGAAACTGATACGTCTAAAAGCCGCAAAATTCTTGGATTATACAATAAACATTGTGGTTTTTAATCCGTGCATTTCGACACGACTGACGAAATGCGTTAATTATGTGATATCGCCAATCATTGTCATTTCCACATTTGCGTTTCAACCGTTTTATACAAATCACGTCATGTCTATCTCACATCTGCAATCTGTAAATATTTAGAAAAAAAGTATCATTTACATCGCGCAATATCTTTCACGATGGAATTTTTTACGGCTATATAATAAATATCAGCTCTAATCCTTATAAAATGATTACGTTATAAATGCTTTACGCCTCATTGCATATCGCTACGAGACGAAGTGCAAATAACTATACAGATAAAGTTGTGTCCTTGAAATTCCTACCTCTGGGCCTGCCAAAGGACTTCATAGCCTTGATTCCCATTCCGGCATAAGTGTCGCCGCCGTAATCAACGTACATGAGTGCCGATCTTGTGTAATCACTGCACATGTACGTAGTCCAGGATTGTCAATGTCATTCGTCCGGTTTCTCTGTCCCACGTATTTCGCTGCCCCCGATTTTCGTCTCTTCTTCTTTCTCTCAGGATACGAATGAGTCCGCAAAGCGAACGCATCCAAATTAAAGATGCACGATCAAAGACGACGGGAAAGACGTCTTAAGTTCGTTGCCACGGAACTTAACTCGCACGATCGATAATCACATGTCAATCATCCGTCGCAAGTTATCAGGTTCATTGTCGATTCAGCTTTCAGCCAAATTGAAAAGCCCTTACTCTGTTTGTCCCATAATGCGGATCTGTCCTCTCATGGGAGAAAAGGACCCTATCCTCGACAAATCGACAGACATCACTGTGATAATAAAAATAAATCACGTCGAAATAAATACACTTTGGATAAAGCAAAGATGACGTCGCGTGGTTCGACGAAATAACGGACGATCGTTCCGTGCCATCGAGGAGTCACGAGTTTTATTGTTTACGCGTCGCACAGCGTTTGAAAGGCACGCACGAAGTCACGCCGACAGTCTCGACTTGTCAATGATGAGGCCAGAGGCTTCTCGCGGAGCGGTCGCGTTACGAGGAAGTCGAGGAGATCTCGGCGAGAGACGCACTGGCTGGAGCGGAACACGCGGCGTGTCCACCATGTGTTTGCTATCAATTCATAACTGCGACCCACACGGGTTATTTCCGAATACCTGCTTGCGCAACCGCCCGCTGCTCCGAGGAAGCGCGCGGCAATGGAGGGGAGGAGACGACGGCGTGACGAGATAGGTTGAATCGGAGGAGGGCGCGAAGGAGAATATCCGAAAATATGAGACGTCCGCGACGTCAGAGACGCATATGTCCCGCTTCTCTATCTCTTTTTCTCTTTATTCGAGCGTATCTCGAGGGTTCACGAAACTTCTCCTCTGTCCTTCTCGTTGGGATTCGCCCCTCGCGCTATTTCGTCGCAATATTCGAATGCGATTTCGCGCACTTGACGACGACGGGCTCTCGCGCACACGCACATACACATTCGCGCGCGCGCGCGCGCACGCACACTGAACGGCGAGAGGAGAGAGAGCGCACGCAACGTCGCGGACGCTCCTCGTACCCTGGACGATGTGTGTTGGGTATCGCGCGGTCGGATCGAGGTAGAAGATCCGCCGCCCCGACCACCAAACGATCTTTCCTTCGGCGCCACCGGAGTTCGTTAAGCCGAAGCGCCACCGTCGTGCACGTATGACCGTGTTCCGCAGGTAAGTGCGTATACGCTGTGAAAGAAAGAGAGAGAGAGAGCTGAAGAGTGAGGATGAGGGGCAGAAACTCAGAAGAAGAAGAAGAAGAAGAAGAAGAAGAAGAAGAAGAAGAAGAAGAAGAAGAAGAAGAAGAAGAAGAAGAAGAAGAAGAAGAAGAAGAAGAAGAAGAAGAAGAAGAAGAAGAAGAAGAAGAAGAAGAAGAAGAAGAAGAAGAAGAAGAAGAAGAAGAAGAAGAAGAAGAAGAAGAAGAAGAAGAAGAAGAAGAAGAAGAAGAAGAAGAAGAAGAAGAAGAAGATCCGCCGCCCCGACCACCAAACGATCTTTCCTTCGGCGCCACCGGAGTTCGTTAAGCCGAAGCGCCACCGTCGTGCACGTATGACCGTGTTCCGCAGGTAAGTGCGTATACGCTGTGAAAGAAAGAGAGAGAGAGAGCTGAAGAGTGAGGATGAGGGGCAGAAACTCAGAAGAAGAAGAAGAAGAAGAAGAAGAAGAAGAAGAAGAAGAAGAGAGCAAAGGTGCACGGGAGGAAAGTAGAGGAAGACTTGTCGGAGGATGGAGGTGGAGCGCGAGAAAGAGGGGATCGCGGAGCCTCCCGAAGAGGGGAACTAGACGCGTTTCATGTATGTATTCTCGCGAGGCCGATTCGGGATTTCAGGGGTAACCAATCAAGAGTTTTCCCTATCGAGATGTTTCACACGAAACGCGAATGAATACGCAAATTTTACGGGGAACCGTATTTGTAAAAGAGCCACAAAGCGATGCGGTAAGATGGATAAAGCGTGAAAGAAGGTTCCCTCTCGCACGCTACGCGCGCGGAATCGAAGAGAGGGTGGCGAAGACGACAGTAAGACGATCAACGGAGTCGGTTCCTCGAGTCGTGACTCGGTGTCACGGATGGCTAGATTGCATGACAGGCAGGCTATATGTATGTAGGCGCGCAAGTATTAGAGGAGGAAGGAGATAGCGAGAAGGTGTAAAGGCAGAAGGAGATGAGAGAAAAAGACGAGGAGATGAGCGGGCAAGGGACACTGGTTTATTACAGGAGAAGCGTGTCGTGTATAGCGACTTGGTGACTGAAAAGGAGAGAGAGGGAAATAGGCAAAAGGAAGGATGAAAGACCGAATTATGCGAAAAGAGACGTATATAGAGACGCGGAGGGTTTTTAATGCACGTAAACTAGAGACAGAGAAGAGACGCGTAAAAGAACGAGCGATATTTTCAGCTGAATGAAACCGAGAAGGAGAGAGGGGGAGAATATGCGTTAAAGCGACGCGAATAGGAATGTAGAATCCGAAAATACGACTCGACCGAATTGTCTCGCGACGAGATAAAAAGCGGTAAAAAAATCCGCCAAGAAATATCATTCACGGAGAAAGATACCCAGATGGAATTAACGAAGTGATAAGAGAGAGAGAGACAGAAAACTCTAAATGTACGCGCGAGCGAGCACGAGGATAGCGAGAACGAGCGAGAGATCGACGACGGAACTGAAAGGGACGCATGAGAGAAAGAAAGAGAAGGAGAGGGAGAGAGAGAGAGAGAGAGAGAGAGAGAGAGAGAGAGAGAGAGAGATGAGATGAGAAACACTTGACCCCCCACCACCGCGACTGCGACAGACCTTCTCGCCGAGTTTTATGAATGAATGCTCTCCCGTCACGCGGTGGACTAACACTGGCGTCGGCGCACACCGCGCGCGCGCGCTGTCACCCCTCCCCCGTCTCTCGCCGCCAACCGCGCGAGCGCAAACCGAAGCTGTACGAGTGTATTGATGACATGCACGTACACAGACGACGGATGACGCGAGTAAATACCAAGAGTTGGCTAATACACGCGGGCGCGCAGGTCCGTTTCTTCCTTCATTCGATTTTGCCGGTTCGTTCATTCATGCCCGAGCCGCACGCTTTAACTGGTAGCTCACCTCGACCGTCTCGAGAGAGACTCCCACCTCCTCCTCCTCCTCCTCCTCCTTCTCCTCCGCGTCGCGCTTGGATCAGATCTCTTTTTCCACCGCTTGTACGTCCGTTCGTTCGACGCCGCCGTCGTCGTCGTCGTCGTCGGGACGTTGACGTCACGCTAGATGAAGAAACAAGTCGGCATTTTCCGAGAATGACTGCAGTTCTCGCGTGACCTTCTTTCAACGGCGCCCGAATAGTAGGGCGGATCACGATGACCTTCGCGCCAGCGCGAAGGGCGGGCAACAATTACGATACAGCTTTTGATAAATCTCGATTAGGTGAGGGATTTGAGATAGTTAATCTTTTTTCAAGTTTCGTAGTATCAAGATAAAAACGCGGATTCTATGATAAAATAAAATCGTTAATAACGCTTCTTGCGCAATAAAAAAATCTTTATATTAATTATATTAATTATATATAATTATTTTTTTTA